ACTGATCCTGATTCTACACACACACACACACACACACACACACACACACACTTCGGGACTGTCCTCACTGCTGCTGTTTGACCTGGTTCACGTTGTTTATGACAGCCCTTGCTAACTGTTCTACAACTGCCTGTTTATCCGTCCCCCACTCCAAGTCTGTGACCTCCTGGAGGACAGAGACTATTCTTTCTCATCTCTGTAGCCCTCACTCCATCCCAGCACGGCCCTTTAATGGACACTACATAATGACTCAAGACCAAAGAAAGCCCAAGAGGAGAGAAACTGCTTCTCTTCGGCATGACTGCAGAAGAGAAAAACCAGTTTAGTCATCTGTGTGCACGGTCCTCGTTTACAACTAGTTACCATGCCCAGGACTAGAAAGTTCTTCCTTGGAAAACTTAACACTTAGAGGACACGTTGCTTTAAACCTTTAATCCCTGGCTGTCAGGAATAGTGGGTAACTATAGTATGTATAGTCAATCCTAAAGGAAATTAGGACTGAATATGCGTTGGAAGGACTGATGCTGAAGCTGAAGCTCCAACACTTTGGCCACCTGATGTAAAGAAGTGACTCATCAGAAAAGACCCTGATGCTGGGAAAAGATAGAAGGCACAAGGAGAAGGGGACGACAGAGGATGAGGTGGTTGGATGGCATCACCGACTCAATGGACATGAGTTTGAGCAAACTCCAAGAGTTGGTGATGGCCTGGTGTACTGCAGTGCATGGAGTCGAGAAGGGCTGGACACAACCGAGTGACTGAACTGAACTGATACATACATATACAGGGCTACAGTTTAGAAACTTGTATTCCAAGGCTATCTTACAGATCCAAATTTAAAGGTCTCCTCGATTATCCACTGGAGAGGAGATCCACTGTCCAGGGACTTCCCTGGGGGTCCAGCAGCTAATACACCATACTCCTAATGGAGGGGGCCCAGGTTCGATCCCTGGTCAGGGAACTAGATCCCATATGATCTAGCAACTAAGAGTTCATATGTTGCAACTAAGAGCTGGTGTAGCCAAAATAAATGTTAAAAAAGAAAGAAAGAAAAATAATTTAAAAAAAAGAAAGAAATTTACTGTCCAGAAAGCTACTGTTTATCTCTAAATACATAAAAGAATTATCTCTCCCCTCACCCCACAAATATTCACAAAGGTCCCTAATAAAGTTATATAAAAAGGTAGAAAAGTGAAACCAAAACCAAGCCCAGAAAGCTACCTACTAGATGTGTTCAGAATCTGCGTGGGTGATTTACATGTGTGACATTCCTCACAATGTTAAGAGGGAAAGAACCATGAACTATGTTCTAGAGGACATAGCTCCACTGTGAGGCTTCAGAGAGTATGGACAAGCCAAGAATGCATCCATTTAGCATCTGTCAAGCAAGCATTTAAAAGCCACATTAAAGACCCCAGTCAGATATGTTATTTCCCTTAGTTTATGGATGAGAAACTTGGGATCCTAAAAAATGTCAGCTGAATGATGATGCAGAAGGGATTCAGCCCATTAAACCTCCTGTTGCTTCTTATTTGCCAGGTACTAGACCTATTCACGGGGTTTCCCTGATGGCTCAGCAGTAAAGAATCCGCCTGCAATGCAGGAGACACAGGAGACGTGGGTTCAGTCCCTGGGCCAGGAAGATCCCCTGGAGGAGGAAATGGCAACCCACTCCAGTATTCTTGCCTGGAAAATCCCATAGCCAGAGGACCCTGGCAGGCTACAGTCCATGGGGCTGCAAAGAATCGGACATGACTAAGAAGGCAGGCAGACCCATTTATAGACATTATCTCAGTTAACCCTCACTTCCATCCTGCAGGGACACCGGACTCTCCCCACAATCCCAGTAGCGGACAGGAAGCTTTAGAGAAGGCAAGCCATGAATTTCTAAGCTCTGCCTTGGGGAGAGGCAACTTCTTACTCTTCCAAACATCCCAACAATTGACCTCACACTGTAGGACCAAATCAAGACATTTCACTACAGGGGGCTTTTCTTAGCATCATGGTGTGGGAAGGACATGGATTTTAAGGCCAGCTACAGGAAGCTGGAATCCGTCCACACTGTTACCTGTCCAGGTGGACCACGGGGCACCCCACACTTTCCCCAGCTGAAGTCAGTCTTGCCAAACTCTTCAGCAATTCACGACTTTGCAAGTTCAGGGACAGATCATATCAGAGTCCCTAGTCCACTTCACACGACTGGGGAAAAAACAACCACAACTTCCCCTGCCCTTAGTTCCTCCTCCGAAAGAGCTGCTGAACCTCATCTGGAAACAGCTGGGAGGCAGCAGTTAACAGGAAACCAAACCCAAAAAAAAAAGTACAGAGTGTACCAGGGAGAGTTAGGCGGCTAGAACGAAGAGGCCGGGGGACTGACAGGAAGCTGAAGTCAGAAAGAGCCCAGGCCAGAAAGAGACAGAAGAGGCGGAGGCCCAGCTGTCCAGGAGAGGGAGAAAACCTGGAAAATCGGGGTGAAGGCTCTACATGGCCCTGAAAGGGAAGTGAGGCCACCTCTGGGGTTGTTTTCTTTCCTCCCTGCCCCGCATATCACAACCCTCCTTCTCTGAAAGCCAGTGAGCAGTTTTCATAGGATAGCTGAGGTCAGAAACATTTCTGTTCTCACGTTGCTTTCTGGGCCAGAGGCTGCGGCCCAGATAACTGGTTTTGAGTCCTTCTCCTGTCAATTTGTACCCACGTTCCACGCTGCCAACTAAATTCTGGGGCCACCCAGATTAGCCTCACGCAGAGAGGGACACGAAGAGCATCTTCATGAGAAATTACTAGGCGGATGCCCACTGGGGGACCAGCAGTGGCAGGAGACTCTGCACAGGGATTGACAGCAAAGCCGGACGGAGAACCAGCAGGGCTGGAGATCTCAAAGAACAAGGTAAGCCTCAAATCAAACTAAGGGTGTATTTTGCAACCAAGAAAATTAAATGAGCAATGGCTGGCTGCCAAAATATTTTTGAAAGAAGTGGAAAAAAAATACCATTACTAAAATTCTTTGGTGTCATTTAATAATACGCCTTCAGGTTATCCAAACTGAGGGCAGAGGGCAGACTGGTTTATTTACCCTTTAGCAGAGCTTAGTGAGCACTTCGGCCCATGCCTCCTGCCACTCCATCGCCCATTCTCTCTTTGTATGCGGAGAAGTTTATATTAAAATAAAGGCAAGGATTAAGTTTGCTTAATAGAACACATTCCTATTTTTCACCTCCAGGTTTGTTTGAAAGCCCTCTCTCTCACTGCACCGTATGCTACAGTCGAGTTGAGTTTGATTCCAATGAAGCGCTCAAAATTAGTAAGCAGGGCTAACCCTGGAGGAGGAAATGGCAACCCGCTCCGCTCCCGTATTCTTGCCTGGAAAATCCCACGGACAGAGGATCCTGGCGGGTTACAGTCCATGGGGTCGCCAAGAGTCAGACACGAGTGAGCATGCACGCACGCACGCACACAAGAAGCAGGGCTAAAAGCGGGCAGAGGGCTGAGAACTCAATACCATTTGGGTTTAAAAAAAAAAAAATCTTCACAGGCTTGGTGCCAGCTCAAACTGGCAAGACCAGAGAATCAGAGCGGAGCCTAACCAATGTGCCACGCAAAGGGGGTGGGAGGAGAGCTCTGGGTAACATTCTGCAGCCATGTGGCAAACAAACCATCAGGGAAGCCTTCAAGAGAGGAAATGGGGGCGGGCAGAGTGGGGGTGCGTTTCAGGAACATAACAAAGGAACAAGTTGACTAATCATTTATTCCAGAGGGGGAAAATGCCACCGGGAGCTATGTATATCTAGTGTTTCAGCTTCAGGTAAATGTATAACTTGGGTATATTCGGGGCTCACTGCTTTCCAAAAAAAAAGGGGGGGAGGGAGGGAAACGTTCCTACTCCTCTTGATACTGTTTCTGGAATCTCCAAGGAAACTTTGTCTGCGCTGCCTGCAGCAGACACCTAAGACAGCCCCAGCCAGTCCAGTTACTAATGCAGTAATCTCCACTCTGCCGAGATCCTATCGTGAGCTTTGTGCAGGGCTGGGCTGCTCCGCACTGCAGCTCCTCCAAAGAAGTTCTGTTCCCGAGGCAGAAGTTATCCGAAGCAAATACCTGACAAACACACCAAGAAAGGGAGAGTGGAAAGGCATTTTAAGCCATGAGGTTAAACCCAGGCACTTCTGTGACTTGAGGGAAAAAAAGAGATCTCTGCCTAGAGCCAGAGCCACAGGTCAGGATGGTGTCTGGGATGCCTGCCCTAAACATCTCCAAATAATGTTTCAGGGCCAGCCCAAGGAGCCTCTCCAACTTGCCAGGGGGACAGCCTCCACCACCAAGGGCTAGGGCTTCAAGTCTTCCTAGGAGGCACTCAGGGCCCCTCCCAAGTGTGGGTGGGGGGAGGGCTTCCCAATCAAGAGACTGTGAGGGAACCCAGCCTCCCTCACGATAAGAAAACTAGCTTACACTTAGGGAGCAATTAAATATGTGCCAGGCACTGAAATAAGCACTTTACCTATCTCATCCCATCCCCACAGCAGTCAACGGAGGCAGGTAATGCTGTCACCCTCTATAAGAGGAGGAAACGGGCTCGCAGATTTTACACAATCAGTAAACCAGCGCCTAACCACCCAGGACAGGTGGTCCCAACCACTTCTCCCTGTCGCCGGAAACACATAAAGCTTTGGGGGGAAGGGTGGATAAAGTCAAGTAACACGAGGTACAGCCTGTATTTACACCTTTTTCTAGTCTGAAATCAGTGGCCTCGGGACATTGAGGGGGGGCGGGGGGTGCCTAGCTGGGGAACGTGAAGCCGGAAGAACTTAAGCCCTGGCAGACAGGGAAGAGGCCAGGACCTCCATCCCTCTCGTTTCCACTCGGGACCCCAGACCCATAAACCCGCCGGATGGGGGAAGACCCAAAGGGAATGCCTGAAGCTAAGAAGTCCCCTGGCGGCAGCCCTCCACGCTTGTTTTGTCAAAGGAGCCCCGCTCGAGAGGTGGGGCCGGCCGGGTTCCTACCTGTAGGCCAGGGTCATGCACTCGAAGAGCTTGGTGAGCGAGGCGTCGATGGACAGGTGGCAGGAGCTGGTCTTGCCGAAGCTGTAGGTCTGGCACGTCTGCTTGTTGACCGTGTCGAAATCGTAGCCCTTCTTGGGCGGGTGCTCCCGGTGCGGCGACGACACCATGAAGTGGCCGCTGTGGATGATCTGCTGGCGGCGCGGAGCCTCCTCGCGGCCCGACCCGGCCTTGGGCGGCGGTAGCGCGGCGCTCGCCTGGCCCCTGGCCGGGGTGGCTGCGCCGGAGGCGGGCGGCGGGGACGGTTCATCCGTGTCAGAGTCGTCGTCGTCCTCAGGCACCTGGGGCTTCAGCAGCACGGCGCGGCCCCGGCTGCGGGGCCGGCTCTGAGAGCACATGAAGACGTCGGCGGCCATGGGGGGGGCCCGGCTGGGGGCATCCCCCGGGGCGCGGGGAGACGCAGGGCAGCTGGCGAGACTGGGCGCCGGCCCGGGCCGGCCCGCGCGCCGACTGTCCGCGAGCGCGCGGCGGGGCGGGAGGGGGAGGGCGCAGGCCGACAGGGCCGCCTCGGCGCCGGCCCCGGCGTGACGTCACTGGCGCGTCTCGACCAATCGGGCGCCCTCGTCGGCCTCTTAAAGGCGCAGGGGTCCTTTCCGTAGCTGGGCGGACAAAAAAGGTGGCGGGGGGGAGCCGGAGGCCACGCCTCCCGGCCCCGCCCCTCGCCATCCCATTCCCTTCGGGGTGCTGCGGGACATGGTGGCCAGGTGGTGTCACTCGCCAGTGTCTTGGCCTAGGAGAGGCATTGGCCAAGCAGGTCGTGCAGATCCCGCCTCGCACTCCGGGGAATGGCTCTGCCGCCTCGCCGCGGCCGGACGGGCGCTCCACGTGTTGGGTGGGGGTGGCGCTCCTTCACCCTCTCAGGCCCCGCTTTCTCCTGCAGGGCCCGGAACTGTGTCCTGATGGCTCTTCCGAGATATTGCTGGGCCCTGAAGGTTTCGTCCCCATTTTATTGATGAAAAGACAGAGTCGCTGAATACCAAAGGGATTTTCTAACGCTAAAGCAAGGTCATTAACACTTCTCACCTCTGCAGAGGTAGAAACTAGCTCTTTAGTTAAGGCACTTTCCCAGGACATCGCAATCTGTCAGTGGCAGAGCCAGCCACTAGCTCCGTTAACTACAACTCAAAATACCGTCATTATTGTTAAGATCTTAAACTTGGAGGGAGAACCAGCACCTAAACCCTTCTAAAAGGGGGGATTCGGAGCCATAATTGTCTTCTCTGTCAAATGGGGATTCCTATGCCTCAGAAAGTTGTGACAATTGAAAAATGACTATAAAATGCTTTGCACAGTGCCAAGCAAAGAATGAGCAACTAAATAAACAGACTACAGGCTGAAGGGACTGAACCAGCCAGACCAAAGGCATCTAGAAATTGCCAGTACTCAACCACTTTTGACTATAGAAACAGCGATTTCATATGGCCCAACATAATAGTTGACATGTATAGAAAGTTGTCAAGGGGCTCAAAGGCAGCTGGCAATGGCCATGTAGGGAGGGCAGGGCAACTAACTAGAGGGCCAGTGGGGCCCCTGGGGCAGGCGCTCGCATCCTAGTGTCTGCAGGGCCTCCAGAGTCTTCTACCGCTGCCCCTGTGCTCTGCTCTGAAGCCAGTTTCGCTTCCAGATTTGGGTGGGATCTCAGCTCGATACCACACCTTCCTCCTGCCAGGGAGCATGTTGGGAGTGAAAGGGACAAATGGCTCTTATCAAAGCAACTGTGCAAACTCCATCCCAGGGTGTCTTCAGGGAGGGAGAGGCCAGAGGGACCGGCAGCTGGTGTGAGTTTGAAGTCTCCTCCCTTGTCCAAACCACCACTCCCAACTCTGGTTGCAAATGTCTGAAGGGCAACTCTTTGAGTTGCCTTTCTTTATCTGAAGACTTTTCTTCCTGATAAACACTTAAATGCCCAGCCTCTTTTGATATGGCAATTCCACTTCTATAATTTTATCCTAAAGTCTGTGTGTGCATCATTTGTAAAGAGTGGACGTTATAAACAACGTGATGTCTAACAAGAGGGCATACATTGAATATAACATAGTCCCTAATATAATGAAATACTACATTTTAAATGATGCAAATGTATTTTTATTGACATTGGAAGATATCATATGTTGTTGGGTGGAAAGACAACTTTTAAAAAGTTATCAAGGGGTGGGAGGTGGGAGGGAAGTTCAAGAGGGAGGGGACATATACCTATGGATGATTCATGTTGATGTGTGGCAGAAACCAACACAATATTGTAAAGCAATTATCCTCCAATTAAAAATAAATAAATTAAAAAAAAATTATCAGAGGAATTCTCTGGTGGTTCAGTGGTGGGGAGGACTCCAAACTTTCACTCCAAGGGGCAGGGGGTTCAATCCCTGGTTGGGGAACTAGGATCCTACAAGCCACACGGCACAGCCAAAAAATAAAAAGTTATCAGTAGCTTGATGTCAGTTTAAAAAATTCATATATTTATGTGTGTATGTCAGAAGTGTACCATAATGTTAACACTGGTTATCTCTGGGTGGGGCAACTATTTTCTAATTCCCAAAAGAGATAATTATTACTTGTATACTTTTTTCTTTGCAGTGTACTCTTTATTTCTCTTTGGTTTCTTAACACGAAAGATATCTATGTGAAAGGATATGTTAGGTAGTTAGAATAGGGAAAAGGAGTCCAAAATGGCGGTGGCTAAAAGACCTGGAAGGGAAAGCCCGCTAAAATAGAAGAAAGGAAGGTCCGAGGACCTGAGTGAGAACCTCAGGTAAAACAAACAATGCTCCTGCCTAAGCCCAATTTGCATAGGACAGGCCCAGGGGGAACAAAAAAAACATGAAAAGAGGAGCCAAAGCCCTCTTCTCTCTCTCTCTCCCACATGATGGGGCGCTCTTCTCTTCCCGTCTTTGGATCGAAGTGCCCTCACACCTCGAAGATGGCTTTTCCTGCTATCATCCAAATAAATAGAGCTGTAACACTGAGCTGTAACAGTGATTTATTTAAGAGCTATAACACGGTCTGGCTTTAATGTCCGTCACTCCAAATCTTTGTTGTGACGAAACAAAGAACAGAGGAGCATACGCTCGCCTGACAGATATATATATATATATATATATATTTTTATATGTAGTTTTTTTTTATATTGACCATTTTTTAAAAGTCTTGATTGAATGTGTTACAATATTGCTTCTGTTGTTTATGTTGACTTTTTGGCCATGAGGCATGTGGGATCTTAGCTCCCCAACCAGGGTTTAAACCCTATACCCTTGGCATTGGAAAGTGAGGTCTTAACCACTGGACTGCCAGGGAAGTCTCTACTTAAAAAAAAAAAAATTTAAGGCCCTTCCATGTGGCGTGTGGACCTTATTAATTGTTCCCTGACCAGGGACTGAACCCATGCTCCCTTCAGTGGAAGCACAGAGTCTTAACCACTGGATTGCTAGGGAGGTCCCAAGGATATATATTTTAAAAAGCAAAAGCAAACAAACAAAAAACAAACCCCATCAATTTCCTGGGAGGAGATACACTCTTAAGGCTGAAGTTGAAAACTGGCAACCTACAGGCCTTACTCCGTACACAAACATGCTTTGTTTAATCCTCCCCATAATTTCCTAAAGATCACATTAGAAAAGAAGCAAGACTTGAGGAAAAGCAGTTTAAAATGCAGTTAAAAGCAGAGGACCACCAAGAGTGAGAGCTGCAGGTTGCTCCAAGCTCCCAGTCATTGGCTGGAAAAAAGTCTCAAGGGGAGTTTTTGGGAAAATGTGGAAATACTTGCCAAGGATCTAGGCTGATGACTGCCCCCTCCCTCCTACTAAGTAGGGGACAGCAAGAGCAAGCGCACAGGGGGACACAGAGGGCAGTGTCCCAGGGGAGCCAGCAACTCCATGAAGGACAAAGAGCTCCACACCCAGCAAACCACTAGAACACACAATCTGACAGGATAAGCATCTTCTACCAGAACCTCATAGGATAACCATCTTCAACCAAAAGTAAGAAGCAGCATTCCATGGTAATCAAATCAGCAAACAGGCAGATAAGAATTCCCAAATACAGGGAATTCCCTGGCAGTCAGTGGTTAGGTCTCCACACTTTCACTGCCGAGGTCTCGGATTCAATCCCCGGTCAGGGAAACAAGATCCCACGAGCCTTGCAGCACAGCCAAAAAATAAAACAAAAAAAAACCCCCAAATACGAAATGTTACAGACCAGCAAAGGTCAGCAAACAATTAAGGAAAGTCAGCAGTCTGGAAGAAAGCTACCTGAGAATTAAAAAGTGAAAGGGAAAAGTTAACAGAATAAACAGAAGACTTTAAAAAATAAATAGCCCTGGAAAGAATACAGAAGATTCTCAGCATGTATATTATCTATAGTGAAACAGATCACCAGCCCAGGTTGGGTGCATGAGACAAGTGCTCGGGCCTGGTGCACTGGGAAGACCCAGAGGAATCGGGTGGAGAGGGAGGTGGGAGGGGGGATCGGGATGGGGAATACATGTAACTCCATGGCTGATTCATGTCAATGTATGACAAAACCCACTGAAATGTTGTGAAGTAATTAGCCTCCAACTAATAAAAATAAATGAAAAGAAAAACAAAAAAAAAGAATACAGAAGATTCTGAACACATTAAGCAACAACCAATATGCAAAAGAAGCAAACAGAGGTCCTGGGAAAACAATATGAATATAAAATTATGATTCTGTAGAAAAGTCAAGTTGAATAGCAAAACGACTGTCTGGAAAACACAGCAGTAAACTGAAAGACTGATCTGAGAATTTATTCCCAAAGACTGCCAAAAGGACAAAGGCAAATTAAGTGACGTGGAGGATTCTTCCAGCGAAAGTTCCAGCACCTGCCTAATAGTTCCAGAAAGGAAGAAGAAGTAAAAGAGAGACGAAAAATTGGAAACAGGAAATAATTAAAGCAGCAGTAAAAGAAAAAATTTCCCAGTGCTAAAGAAGCAAACATTTCATATGGGTCAAACACAGGCTGAAGGTGCTGTGATAAACCACACCCCAAATTGCAAAGGCTTAAAACCACAAAGGTGTTCTTCTACTGAAAGCTACCTGTGTATTGACTACACATCCATTATAGGCTGACAGTGTGCTCTGCCGGTCAGAGTCGCTCCCAGACTCAGGCCACAGAGCAGCCACTGTGGCAAATGCTGCCCAGAAGGGATGTGTACTCACAACTCACCCGCCAGAACTAATCACATGGCCCCGCCCAAGCACAAGGGAATTAGGAAGTACAACACAATCATAAGACCAGAATCCAGCCAGCCAGAAATATTTGGTGGCCAGCACTGGTGACCAAATGAGCACACGCGCACACACACACACACACACACACACTGGTGACAACTGATGACTATAG